TTTCTGTCTCATCTCGACGAGTCGCTGTAGTCACGTGCTCTGAGCTCATCAATGTGCACCACTCCTTACTGCTTATTGATCGTTTTCCTCAAGAATGAATGTTTCAACAGGTGTTTAGAACGTCTTCAGGAAAGAGGGAATCTGTCTGCCCTCGCTTAGGTAGCATGAAATCATATTCACAAAGCATGGGGATGAGCGAAGAGGGTGGGGAAAGCTGTTTTATCTCCGCTAATAAGAATCCTGGGAAGGGACGAAGCATGCAGTCTTCTTCCTCTTCTTCCTATAAATGTCTGGTTTCAGTTTCGTGTAGGGAAGGGCATCAGCCGGCGTCTGCTGTTGGTTGGCCGAACTACTGCAGTCTTCATTTTTACGGACCCGTGGCTAGCAGGAGAATGTCCCCAATTGTTTGTCGCACGTAATCCTTTTTTTTACATGATGGACCGTGACTACATGATACACCATGACGACAGCAGACATCGAAGAGGGGCTTCACATCTAAACTGTTAGAGGTATATGTTACGATAGAGGCTACGCTAGAAGCAATCGGGATGTCAGACGTATTGTTATCGAACAATACCAAGCTAAGGCAAAGAGCGCTTCGAGAATCAGAACCTTTTTTCAGATCTGGCAATGGATTTTAGTTGTCATCACTTTCCTTGCGGTGTGTTGCTAGGCAACGAAAACAAAGGAGTTGTTTTCTGCTGTGACATGAACGCCCGCAGGAAAAGCACGAGTTTCCGGGGTGCACAGACATTTTATTTCGGGTTGCTGATCCACGCATTTTTTTTTTGAGCGTTCGATGGCGAGTTTAATCTCGTTTCGTTTGCAACCAGGGACATTCAGAGTAGCCACACATAGCCTTTATAAAACCCGGAATCGAAGTTGCAGATGGCTTTCACTTCTGACATTGCCTGGCACTGTGCTCGGTGACACGAGCTTTTCTGAGAGTAGGCACCCATTTCCGGTTATTTTTCTTTGCATTGTTCTCGCTCTGTCACGTACTGTAGCCTCGAAGTAAAAAAAAAAAAACTCGGCATATCTCACGTGCTATAAAAATCGATGTCATGCGAAGAATGTGGAGGTAACGTAACTGCGTTTTAGTTTTTGTCTAGAAACGTTACGAGATGACGCTAAAGATGTGTAAAAATATAAGAACAGACAAACGTTGAACAGTCACATATTTTTTACATAACGATTTACTTACAGTTGTTTAACAAGACCAACAGAAACATGGATATTATCATAATTACTAAGCTATTATCAACACCAAAAGCGGTAAGGTGATATGTAATGCTTGTGCTTGCGAGAATGGTAGCACTGGCTAGTTCTACGTAGAAAATGCCAGATAATGCTCAAGTATACAATTGACGATAACGCAACCTTATGTCTGTACCACATGACTACATATGTATTGATTATAAAATGAGATATCCAGCACTGAAACCACAATTGACGTTTCAATCAACGTTGCGCCTGCAATATGATCTTTTTCTGACGCCGTTTCGAGAGCTGGTGCGGCTCTAAGGTTGAATAGTTCATTTTCACACAGAATGTTTGTATTCAACTGCTGATGGAACTGTGGTATTTATTCTTTGCATTCATTGGGTCAATGCTGCCGATGTAAATTTTTCTTAAATCTCTCGCATTTAGGTTACCAGTGCCTGTTGGCGCCGTTACTGGGTAAATATAAACTGTCAATCGCCTGTAGTGCGTACCCGTTTACCGCAGCCCTTGGTATATTGACATGTGTCACACGTGTTTGGAGGAACAGGTTATACGGCGCACCTGACACATTTTGCACGTTATTCATGTCATGACCAGCCAGACATATGTATTCTTCGAGCCCTCTTTCCCTGTCATTCCAACTATGGTCACCGCAAAATAGGCATACTACCACAAGATCACCTAGACATGAGTGGGCTTCATAGGTACAATGATACAAATATTTTGAAGTGCCTACAATACGCGAAAAAACGCTTCGCATTAAAAAAATGACTAGCCCTACTATTGAGCTTTCAAGGCATCAAAAGCGCTGTCTGATAGTCTTGTGTAATTAAATTAAAGTCTGCGTTTTATATACCGTAAAATTTATAGGTTGTGATGTTTTACGCGAAGATATTATGTGAATAAGAGAACTTGATAATGTGATATGATAATCAGAGATGCCAATATTCAGATATTCAGAGAATTTACTGTGAATAAATTTGGACACTTAGGGCTTTCTTGAGGGGCAAGTATGCCTAAGTACATTGGTGTACCATAATCGAGTACCTATGCTCATTCGCATTTATTTCTAAACACTATAAATTGTTCGTTTTTATAACTAATCACAGGCGGTTTCTTGTTAACGCGTACGCCAAAGCTGGCCGACGAACCGGTGTCCTCGTTCTTGACAGCGCTACGTCTTATAAATCGAGCTACCAAAGTGGATAAATTATTACAAAACCAGAACGTGATTAGCACACATGCCGTAATCACAATTTCCGATTAGAAAAAAACTATTAAGCTAGCTTCGCAATAGTGGTGCCATGCCTGAAGGAAGGGCGGCACTGGGCGGACTTCCTTGTTTGTCTTCATTATTCTTTTTTCAACACTTTTTTTCTCTCTTCGCTCTATTTCTTGTCTTTCAAAGACGATAGTCTTTCTTGGGGACCTACGATGCAAAAATTTTGGTCTGTCTGTGTCCGTCCGTCTGTCTGTCCGTCTGTCTGTGTCCGTCCGTCTGTCCGTCTGTCTGTGTCCGTCTGTCTGTGTCCGTCCGTCCGTCCGTCCGTCCGTCTGTCTGTGTCCGTCTGTCCGTCTGTCCGTCCGTCTGTCCGTCTGTCTGTCCGTCTGTCCGTTCGTCCGTCTGTCTGTCTGTCTGTCCGTCTGTCCGTCCGTCTGTCCGTCTGTCAGTCCGTCTGTCCGTCCGTCCGTCTGTCTGTCTGTCTGTCTGTCTGTCTGTCTGTGTCCGTCCGTCTATCTGTTTGTGTACGTCCGTCTATCTGTCTGTGTCCATCTGTCTATCTGTCTGTGTCTGTCTGTCCGCCTGTCTGTCTGTCCGTCCGTCCGTCTGTCCATTCTTCTGTCCGTCCGTCCGTCCGTCCGTCTGTCTGTACACTTGTCTGTTTGTCCATTCTTAACGGCACCGGCTTCTTGAAACGGCCGACCCCATCCGCAGCGCCCATCAATGTTGCTCAAGACTCAGCGTTCATACTTGAGCCATTGTCAATTAAAAAGCAATTATTTCGCATGTCTGGGGCACCATAACAACACGTATATATTCCGCATGTGCGTCGTTTACTAGAAAACGCATACATAAGTAATTTTATGGACCATAGCGCTTATCACGCTGCGCTGACCACGCAACGCTTGCACGAAAAGGCGAGTGTTTCCAACGCTTTGCTAAGGCGAGACGGTGGTGGCACCTACCCGTCGCCTTGCGTTCTACACCTTATCACCTCTGAGACGGGCGCGCACACCAATTAGTGACTGAATCAGCGCTTATCTATCAACCGAACACAATTTGTTGAAATTAATGACTGAAAATCTGAAATAACCCAAGTTTCGTCCAGCGTACCTCACGACAGTGTCTTGGCTCCCATTTCATTTCTAATTTTTACGAATGATCTACCTGCATCTATCAATACCAACGTACGTCTTTTTGCCGATGATTGTATAATATATAAAGAAAAAATAACTGTCCTAGCGACCACGTGACCCTTGAAAATGATCTAAAATAAGTATATCAATGGTGTATGGAGTGGCAGATGACATGAAATTTAGATAGATCAGCATTGCTCAGAATAACCAGAAAAATCATTACATCCGAATTTTTCTATAATATCGTGGCCACTCAACTAACTCCTGTTAATAAACACAGGCATCTTGGATAAATCATATCTAATAACTTTAAATAGGAGGCACACGTAACCTTGTACAAATCATATCTAATGACTTTAAATAGGAGGCACACGTAAACCTTGTAACATAATCTGCAATAAACAAATTATTTTCTGAAAAGGCGCCTTCATTCAGCACCGTGCGCTACGAAGCTACTTGCCTATGGCACATTTTTCAGACCAGTGCTTGAGTACTCTAACGTCGATTGGTCCCCATCTACAAAAAAAAGTAATAAATGAATTAGAAAACGTGCGAAGGAAAGCATTCAGGTTTATTCTTAATAAATATCGTACATCTGACTCCCTATCAACAATAATGCAAGAATCAGGAATACTGATGCTCAGTTACCGTGCCAAAATCGCCTGCCAGAAAATGCTGTCTGAGATTTTTCACAATAAGCTTCGTATTGATAGGAACAAATACCTATATCACCCAGGACCTAGGCCCTCTCGTCATAAGCACCGCCAATTCCTTGTAGAATACAGGTTCAAACATGACTGTTTTAAATTCTCGTTTTTCCACAAGCCATCACCTTCATACATAACTACCTGTAATAAAGAAATAACTTCCTGTCACTTCCTGCAAACCACCTATGTGTTTCTCAAACATAAACTCTTCGTATAGTACTAACCTTACCATTTTCGCTCTATGTATTGATTTAATTTTCATCCTCTAACGAGCGATTCACACATTACTAATGTATACCCTTCTTTTATCATGATGACTTCTTTTTCATACCACATGCCTAGTAGCCTTTGTATGAATGTTTTTTTTTTACTTTCCAGGTGTGTTTGTTAAATTTTACGTGCAACTTTCTTGTTAGTTCACCGAATTTTCAGCTGCGAATTGAACACTCTTGTATATTTTTACTCTGTGTATGCCCTTCCTGCAAAAATACCCGTTGGGATTGGCAGTATGTCTGAAAGAAAAATATATATTTCAAGCAATTTCTCGCCCCTTTTATGGTCCTTTTTTTCTCTTCCCTTTGTTTATCTCTCTATCTCTCATCCTTTCTATTTCCTTCTTCCTCTTTCGTATTCAGAATCCTGTTTTTAAAAAAGTAATTAAAGGTCAATTCCAGCCTTTACAAACACGTTTTATGTTTCTCCTTTGTGCAGTACCACCCGTATCGGTGAAAATACTCGGCACGCATCGGACCTTTGAAGTTGACGTCTCTGCAGAGTTCCGCTGCGAAGTCGTCGGGTCGAGGCCTCCGCCAAAGGTAAGCCTCTTGCTCTGTGCACGTCCGGGTAAAAATCTTCTTATCATCTTTGCTTTTTCACTCAAGGTGTATGCGGAGAGATGGCATAGGTGAAACACGATGAACACAAATTGAAACACGCTCAAACACATTCCTTGTGCCATGAGCACACTCTAGAAGCTTCACATAATGCGTGCTCAGACGGCCCTTGGCTTGCTATGAACATGATAGTCAGGTATGTTAACGCAGTTATGGTTGAAGCGTTAACTGATTGGGTTATGAAATGAGAACTGAGCACACCAGTTATTGTGCAGTACGAGGGCGCGACGGTGAGGAAAGCTGCACAGGTGCGCCCGCACATCTTACCATGGAACTGTCGATCGAGTTAAGGCATTAGAGCTTACACGCTATCTACGAGCGTAAACAATTTAGTCCTTCCATAAGTGCCCACCAATTCCGGTAAGCTGTGTTCGCCTATATTTCGTTTACGTTCGCGGTTGTACTTCTTTTTTTTTTTGCATAAAGCGCCTGCGAGAACGCACGCGGAGGCAAGCTACAAAACTTTAGGGAAGCCACCAGCGCGTAGAAAGTTTCATGTCGTTTTGTGTTCCTTAAAGGCAACGCCAAAATATTCAAGTATCCTTCTCCAATTATCAGCAAGTGCCAGTTTACTGTACTTCATTCGATCACCTTAATTGAAATGCGCCTATACTCAGCAAAACGTATTGTGAAGGCTAATAAATGACCACAGCCTACCGATAGTTATAGCGCGAGAACAGAACGACGACACAGAGACAAGAACGACACGAAGGACACGAGCGCTCGTGTCCTTCGTGTTTTTCTTGTCTGTGAGTTGTTCTGTTCTCGCGCTATAGCTTTCGTCATGTCATACCAACTAGCGCAAGCTGCCACGCCATAGCCTAATTACACCCTGAAATGCCTGCGCTGACTGCAACTTCTTGTAGACATTTAAACATTTCTTGGTTACAATCTTGTAACGCGTCTGGTTTTTTTGCTGTCTGCCAGGCTCTGCCACTCAAGCCACCAATTGGCTTTGGCAGGCCTAGTCACATGTACTGTTTTATTTGAAGAAATAAAAGGTATTATTATTATTATACCATATATATATATATATATATATATATATATATATATATATATATATATATATAGTGAAGAATAAAGGAGCACACTTACGAAAATTTGATAATTGTTTACTCTACGTTTCGGCCGTGGCACGGCCTTCGTCAGGATTAACGTTAATCCTGACGAAGGCCGTGCCACGGCCGAAACGTAGAGTAAACAATTATCAAATTTTCGTAAGTGCGCTCCTTTATTCTTCACTATATTTGCACCGGACCCACAGAATTTCTTTTTTGAATCATATATATATATATATATATATATATTGACGCGTGTGTACTGGTGGACCAAAACAACAATAAGGGGATTTGGCGGACACCAGGTAGTGGAGCTCTGGCTGATTGAAGAAAAAAGAAGGCGATCTTGCTGTTCGGCTGCTGAGAGTCGCTGTGTGAACGTTTATACGTTTATCTGCCTTTGGTTCGCGCTGCACCACGACACTGGTGGAAGTGCTGGGACGCAACCCTACCTAATGCTCCATACTCCCACTGGGAGCCGTTCATCGAGCTCGGACGCATTGTCACCCATTGCAACTCCCGTGCACCGGTTCAGTCGGCGGGTGATAGGCCTCGCTCCAGAGTTCACGCCTTCCACGGAACCTCGCAAGTGCCGATTACCTCTACAAATGGCCAACGCCAGTCCGCAACCGGCGCCCCAAGGCCCCCCGCCAACACAGCCTTCACAGGTAACCATCTTTCAACCACTGGTTCCCTATCACTTTAGTGGCGGTGCCCATGAAGACGTGGACGACTGGCTTGAGCACTACGAGCGTGTCGCCAAGATTAATCTGTGGCCTGAACAAGAAAAGCTCTCACGCGCCTATTTCTACCTTGACGGCGGTGCGAAAATATGGTATGAGAACAGAGAATCCAGTCTGTTAACTTGGGGCGACTTCCGACAACAGCTTGTCGATACGTTCACCAATGTCGATCGACGTGACCGTGCGCAGCAGCTATTGGAGCTACGTGTTCAAAAACCCAATGAAAGCGTTACTATGTTTGCTGAAGATATGACTCGTCTTTTTCGTCGAGCTGACCCGAACATGAGTGAAGATAGGAAGTTGAGCTACCTCATGCGCGGCGTTAAGGAGCAACTTTTCGCCGGGCTACTGCGCCATCCTCCAAGTACCGTAGTTGACTTCATCAAGGAGGCTACGGCTATCGAGCGGGCGCTCCATCAACGATGCAGGCAGTATCATCGAAAGTCTAGCAGCGCCCCAATCAATGCTGCCGCCATACCTGAGGATCAAAGCTCCCTGCGAGACCTCATTAGGGAGATAGTTCGCGAAGAACTTCAAAAGTTCCGGAATTCGGTTGCTCAAACCCTCGTTGCGTCCGTCGCTGAACTGGTACGCGACAAAATCCGCCACGCCTTTTCTACCGCTGGTCCTGGTGACGAGCACCGTCCCATGAGCTATGCCGATGCTCTGCGACGTTCACCATCTGGTACATCGCCGTCATATCACCCAGTGCCGACGGCCTCTTGGTCACCGCGGCAAGAGCAGACCCTGAGCCGATCGCCAAGCCAACCGACGTACCACCAGGCGTCCACAGCAGCACCATGGACATCGTCGCAAGAAGGGAGGCTCAGACGTCCACCACTCCGAAGAACAGACGCGTGGCGCACAATCGATCGACGTCCACTATGCTTCAACTTCGGAAGTGCAGGTCATATTGCCTGTCATTGCTGGCACCGCAATGATTCGTTCCGCCCACTTCGAACATGGTCTGACGATCGACGTGCGAACGAAGAATACATACCACGCCGGGAGGACGCCTCTTTCCATGGAGCCCATTCTCACTTTTACGAATACCGTAATTCTGACGAGGAGGCAATGCCTACCCGCCAGCCAGGTTTGGGACGTCAATCCCGCTCTCCTTCTCCCGCTCATTCACCTTCGTCACACCGACGTACCTCCTCGGACCTTAACGCAAGAAGGTCACCCAGCCCGCGACGGGGAAACTGAGGGCGGCGACCTCCGGGGGTAAGGTTGCAGGCCATGAAGATGACAACGAAAAGCCCCCATTACACGACGCTGTAAATTCGACAAGACGTGAGAGCGACGACATTGTGACCGCTGACCTGAGTGTTTTTCTTGACGGCCAGAAAGTAACAGCCTCAGTCGACACCGGTGCCGACTTTTCTATCATCAGTCAGGACCTCGCCATGCGCCTCAAGAAAGTGAAGACTCCGTGGACAGGCCCTCAAATAAGGACGGCAGGTGGTCAGTTATTGATGCCCTCTGGAAGATGCACAGCGAGAATTGACATAGGAGGTTCTTCTTTCGTTGCGTCGTTCGTCGTTCTCGCCGCATGCTGCAAGGATCTAATTATTGGTATGGACTTCTTACGAGAGTACGGCGCCGTCATCAATATCCCAGACAGTTTGATTACATTCCGCAACAGTTCGGACGCATCTGATTGTACACAGGCGCGACCGAATCAATTGCGTCTAACTGATGACGATGTGGTTCTTTCTCCACGGTCATGCACGCTTGTTTCTGTGGCAGCCGCTGTCCAGTTTGACGGCGAAGGAGTAGCAGACCGAGTAACCTCGCTCCTCTTCACACACGGCATTTCCGTCGCAAGAGGTATCGTCAGTGTCGCCGCTGGACGCACGGACTTGCTTCTGACAAATTTTAGTGATGAGCGCCGGCACCTTCCAAAAGGCATGGCCGTCGCTTACTTCGACGATATCACAGACGCAGAAGGCTGCTTGGCAGTAGTCGACGAGGCACCAAAACTTTATTCGACACCAGTTCTTGACGTTAGCACTACTTTGCCTAAGAACGAGCGAAAGAGGCTTCTTGAGCTACTGGCCGAATTCAAAGACTGCTTTTCGACAAGATCAAGAGTTGGCCGCACGCCTCTAACCAAGCATCGGATAATTACCGAGGACATGGCAAGACCAATTCACCAAAACCCCTATCGCGTGGCTGCAAAAGAACGCGAAGTGATACAAGAGCAAGTCGACAAAATGCTAGAAGATGGCGTCATTCAGCCCTCAAAAAGCCCCTGGGCGTCACCTGTAGTCCTCGTTAAAAAAAAAGATGGCAACCTGCGCTTCTGTGTAGATTACCGAAAACTCAATCAGGTGACAAAGAGAGATGTGTATCTACTTCCTCGTATAGATGACTCTCTCGACAGACTTCGACATGCTCGTTACTTTTCATCGATGGACTTAAGGAGTGGGTATTGGCAAATCGAGGTAGACCCAAGAGACCGCGAGAAGACTGCCTTTGTGACACCAGATGGCTTATATGAATTTAAAGTCTTGCCCTTTGGTTTATGTTCAGCGCCTGCTACCTTTCAAAGACTTATGGATACCGTACTTTTGGGTTGAAGTGGAAAACCTGCTTGGTCTACCTTGATGATGTCGTAGTTTTCGCCGCAACATTTGACCAGCATCTTAAAAGACTTGAGGCAGTTTTACAAGCCATACGGTCTGCGGGCTTGACGTTGAAGCCTGAAAAATGCCACTTTTGCTATGAAGAGCTGCAATTTCTTGGCCACGTTGTCAGTCACGCAGGCGGTCGTCCTGATCCTGAAAAGATCGCAGCTGTTGCACAGTTCCCAGTGCCGACTGATAAGAAGGCTGTCCGACGATTCCTCGGACTATGTGCGTATTATAGGTGATTCATCGCGGACTTCGCACGCATCGCATCACCGTTGACCCGCCTCACGAGAGAAGACGTTGCTTTCCAATGAAGCAACGAAGAGGAAGCTGCTTTTAAGAATCTCCGCCAGCGACTACAGACGCCTCCAGTGCTTGCCCACTTTGATGAGAAAGCCCCAACAATGCTACACACGGATGCCAGCAATATTGGTTTGGGAGCAGTGCTTGTGCAGCTGCAAGAGGGCACAGAAAGAGTAATCACCTATGCAAGCCGAACACTAACACGCGCTGAGACTAATTACTCCACGACTGAGAAGGAATGCCTCGCCGTGGTATGGGCGGTCACGAAATTTCGCCCGTATTTATACGGCCGCCCTTTCAAAGTCATCAGCGACCACCACTCACTGTGTTGGTTGACAAATCTTAAAGATCCTACCGGGAGATTAGCGCGTTGGAGTCTCAGGCTGCAGGAGTACGACATGACTGTCGTACACAAGTCAGGAAAGCGCCACATGGACGCCGACTGTCTATCCCGCTCACCCATTGAATCGGCAACTCTATCCGATGAGGAGGAAACAGCATTTCTCGGTGTGCTTGACTCAACCGCTATTACACAGCAACAACGTGGCGACCCTGAGTTACTTGCCCTAATTAATTACCTGGAGGGGAGATTTCAGAATGCACCAACTGTTTTCGTAAGAGCACTGTCATCATTTTGCTTACGGAGCAGAGTACTATACAATAGAAACTTCTCTTCGACAGGATCTGCGTATTTGCTCGTCATCCCAGCAGCCCTTCGCTCCGAAGTACTCGAAGCATGCCACAACGAGGTGACTTCAGGCCACTTAGGTTACACAAGAACGTTGGCCAGAGCACGGCAGCGCTACTTCTGGCCAAGACTGACCGTTGCCGTAAAACACCATGTTCGTACTTGCCTCGACTGCCAGCGACGGAAGTCACCACCGACTAAACCAGCTGGCCTCCTGCAGCCCGTGCAGGTCCCAAGAACACCAATCGACCAGATTGGAATGAATATTTTGGGCTCACTTCCTACTTCTACTGCTGGGAACCGCTGGGTTATTGTCGCGACTGATTACCTTACCCGTTATGCTGAAACAAAGGCTATCCAGAGAGGTACAGCAGCGGAGGTGGCACAATTTTTCATCGAGAACGTTGTCCTGCGGCATGGTGCACCAAGCGTCGTAATCACAGACAGAGGAACCGCATTTACGGCAGCTCTTTTGGAACAAGTCCTCATGCTGAGTGGAACAACCCATCGCAAGACCACCGCCTACCACTCGCAAACGAACGGGCTTACAGAGCGTCTGAACAAAACAATTGAAGACATGCTTTCAATGTACGTAGACGTCGAACACAAACACTGGGACGAAATATTGCCATATATCACGTTTGCATACAACACTGCCAAGCAAGAAACAACCCAGATGACCCCGTTCAGCATAATTCACGGAAGGGAAGTACGAACCATGTTAGATGCGATGCTAGCGCACGAATGCGACGACATCGAACCAGACGCCAAGATGTTTTTAGAACGAGCAGGAGAAGCAAGGCAACCAGCACGCCTGCGAATCCAGCAACAACAAGAGTACGACGCGAGCCGCTACAATTCTCGCCGCAGAACAGTCGTTTACCAGACCGGCGACAGAGTATGGGTTTAGACGCCCATACGGAAACGAGGACTCTCTGAAAAGCTCCTAAGGAGATACTTTGGCCCATATCTAGTACTGCGACGACTGAGTGATGTTACGTACGAGGTCGTCCCCGACAGTTCATATAGTACGAGGCTTCGCCAGCACCGTCCTGAACTAGTTCACGTTGTGCGCATGAAGCCTTATGAAAGGTAGTGACTGCGCAAGACACTTCCTAAAGAACAGACAAAAAAAAACTGCACTACTGGTTTAGCATCGGGGCGATGCTCATTAAGAGGGGGGGCAAATGACGCGCGTGTACTGGTGGACCAAAACAACAATAAGGGGATTTGGCGGACACCAGGTAGTGGAGCTCTGGCTGATTGAAGAAAAAAGAAGGCGATCTTGCTGTTCGGCTGCTGAGAGTCGCTGTGTGAACGTTTATACGTTTATCTGCCTTTGGTTCGCGCTGCACCAAGACTATATATATATATATATATATATATATATATATATTCGCGCATTTCACCATTGTAAGTATTGAGCGCTGGGAGTGTGTTATACGTTGCCGTTATCAAAGAAGAAGAAAAGTGCACTAACAGCCAAGTGTCGTATATACAGGTCTGCGCGCCTCAGAGATTGTATGGCTCTGCTTTGTTTCCCTCTGTCTCTCCCTGTTTTCATTTCGCTATTCTAGTTCTCTCTCCTGCTCAGTGCAGGGTAGCAAACCGTGGGTATCTCGTGGTCAACCTTTTCTGTTGACTTTCTTTATTCTGTCCCTTTCCCTCGTGACAATTGAATTTCGCATTTCAGTGGGGCACCTGTAAAGCACGCGCACGCACGCACGCACGCACACGCACACGCACGCACACACACACACACGCACACACACACACACACACACACACACACACACACACACACACACACACACACACACACACACACACACAAGTGTGTGTGTGCGAGCACGCACGCTAGCTTACCTTTAGCACCTTTAAGAGCTATTTACACGGAATAAATCGGTGCAGCTAAAATACCTTCAGCTTCGTATTATGCGCGGTTTCTAGAGGAGTGTTTTCAAGGAGGAAACTGCGATGACAAGTTCGCAAAGAGAACGCATCGCCTTCAGTGCGCCAGATTGGAGCAGGCAGTGCGCTCAACATCGGCGCGCCAAGTATACCAACTCCGTCGAGTGATTTGAAATTCAGCTATTAGGGCGAGCTCCCTGTGGTCCCGCCATAATCACTGCCAGCGGTGCAGCGCTTTCCTCGACCGCCGCGTAACTTAGCCCCCGGTCAAACACGGCAAGCCTCCCTCTACCACGCGGAGGGTAATATTATAATTGTATATTATTTATATGTGGGGGTTAACGTCCCGAAACCAACATATGATTATGAGAGACGCCGTAGTGGAGGGCTCCGGAAATTTCGACCACGTGGGGTTCTTTAACGAGCACCCAAATGTTAGCACATGGGCCTACAACATTTCCGCCTGCATCGGAAATGCAGCCGCCGCAGCCGGTATTCGATTCCGAGACCTGCGGGTCAGCAGCCGAGTACCTCAGCCACTACACCACCATGGCGGGGCAATCTTATAATTGTTTACATATCTTTTAATGCGTCATGGTAGTAGTAGCAAACCTCCAACGGCACCAAATTTATAAAAAAGCACCGTTTTCTTCAACATCTTAAGGTTCATTGACGCATTACAATAAAGATATTGGAGTAGACAAAGAAAAGCGAACAAAAAAGAATTACAGCATTTATTTATTGCGAGTTAAGTGAATAAGTTAGAAATACTCGAGTGAAACAGTGCCTTGGTTTAGTTGGATGAACTGTACTCTGTAAACATTGATACGTTTCAATATTATAAGTTCATTACTGGAGGAGAAAATCAAGGTGGAATTTTCACTTTTAAATTTCTCGTTGAAATCTGCGCACGTGACGTCATGAATTTGAAGTGGTGTTCTCCCGTATTTTGGTGACATGGACTCGATGAAATTTTTTGTAACTTCGCACTTTAAATATGCAGCCTCAGTAGATGACAATGTACTTATTTTTACCGGTCAGAAACGACGTATACCTACAGTAGACGCTGTCAAAATCTTCTACGTTATGATGCTCGCTGCGGGAATCTCCAGGTGGCGTCTCCACTCTCATTTTCTTTTCGCACGTTTTCTTACTTACTAAGCGTCGTATTGCAGTAAGAAGGCCGTTTCCTGAATCGTAAAATTATACTTTAGCAATACAAAAAAATCGCTTTTCTCTTTTGTGTCTCTTCAAAAGCTTTATGCGCGCATGAATCAGCAAATGATCCTATCTTGACTAAGTTACACTTCATTCACTCACTCACGCACTCATTAACTCAATTATTTGATGGTAAAGATGAGCCGACTGTCGACTAGACGATTACGAAATAGACCATTCTCAGTTGTTATTCAACGTAAGCGAAACTACCAACAGCGTATCTTTAGGCAGGCAGATGGCGTACCAGTTTCCCGTATAACCACATTGTGGCAAATACGTTTTCTTTTTTATCATTGTTCCGTAATACAATCACAGGCTGACTAGGTACGTGTCCACACGTAAAATTCATTACTTTAGACAATCGTCGAACACTCGAGAAAAGAAAAGTGTGCTTGAAGTGTTTATACTCTGCACTTACAAGACTAATTTTTTAGTCAATCAACGTGTTCTGCTCATGGATCTCACATTTAGGAACGACGACCTCGCGGAGTATGAGGCACGTTTAACAAAATTATCATATCGTGTATACAGCCTATAATGGTAACCAATCTTACATGACTGTAGACAAGTTTGGCAAACTAATTGCCCAATGGTAAGCTCGGCCACGCAATGTCTATTATAAGCCAAAACCATTGCGTCATATGCAGCGGCTCATTATTATTATTATAAATATAACTGAAACCAGCGTACATGTAACGGCCTCTTATTTATACCTAAAGAGGTGTGCTGTTTCCGAATTCCCTTTCCTGCACAACTACGCAGTAAAACGAAAAAAAAATATCCATTCTGATGACCGTAAGCTGAGCTATTGGGTAGGTATTTTTAATAATAGACCATAGGCGATCAAACGCAAGTCTAAAAATAGAAGTCTGTAACGAGACGTCATCGTTGTCTTGACTTGTATTTCTTGACCGTGTTAGTGCGCCTACCGTCTCATATCAATAAATATCCGCATGGACGTATTCAGCCCCACAAAGTATACGCGAGAAACAGATTTCTTTCATTCTTTATTGTTTTTTTTTTACCTTTTGCTATATGTACCAAACTCTGTGCGTTTCGTTTCCAAAACGGTACGCAGGTATCGTGGTGGCTGGACGAAGAGCGCTTGGAGCCGTTCCTGACGGAAGAGAAGGCCAACTCGACCACCACGTCCTTGTTACTCGTGCTGACGTCACGCGCCGACAAGGCCACACTAACGTGTCGCGCTCTCAACACGCGGCTTCCCGGAGAGGTGTGGGAGGACACACTGCTGCTCAACGTCTATCGTGAGTATTACAGTACAAGAAAGTCGCATGGTCATTTTTTGTAATTATTTAATACTGCTCGAAGGACACACTGCTGCTCAACGTCTATTGTGAGTATTACAGTACAAGAAAGTCGCATGGTCCTTTTTTGTAATTATTTAATACTGCTCGAAGGACACACTGCTGCTCAACGTCTATCGTGAGTATTACAGTACAAGAAAGTAGCGTGGTCATTTTCTGTAATTATTTATTACTGCTCGAAGGACACACTGCTGCTCAACGTCTATCGTGAGTATTACAGTACAAGAAAGTCGCATGGTCCTTTTTTGTAATTACTTAATACTGCCCGAAGGCAAACAAGTTGGTTGTAGTGATACGGCGGGGTTATTGTTACACTTCTTGGTGGTGCGGACGTGCAAAAAGGTCGCATGGTCCTTTTTTTTGTATTTGCCTAAGACTGATAGAGGGCGAACAGTCGGTTGTAGTGATACGGCGCGGGTACATTCCTTGTTACATGGACGCCATTGGGTGGCGTCAGCAAGGCGTATCACTCACTTTAATGCCCACGGTCGCATTTCACTAAGACATTCACCTTAACTTGCGTAAGCGCTCTGTCGACTTGCTCAAGAACGCTAGCGTGGACTCCTATCTATGGTTCCATCAGAGAGTCCATAAATTCTCGACGTTAATTTCTTCTCACGTACGAGATATTGGGGTGCCAGACGTGCACGTATAACTAAACATCTGCGTCGCTGCCGCCGTAGTTTGGTATATAGTTTAAGCACTAATGGCACAGCTTTCGACGTCGCCAAGCGTGCTCATATATGGTGCTTTAAAACCTACGTGTATCGTAATGAGTAACTTTGCGTAATCAATACTAAAATGTAATGAGAGCACTTACGCAATGTAGCAACCAGCTTAACGTTCTGCTATTTAAAGTATCGATTACCACTGTTACCAGAATAGTTACGTCAGTGCGCGTTTTCGGTAACTGCATTTTTCATGTCAAACTACATGCTCAGAGACAAGCTGAAGCGCTCTGTTAGTGGCCCTTAATGCTTCCGCATGCAGCTGCACCTGGCGGCTCTCAGTAGCATTAGTGCAGCGTCGGAAACCTTTCGCGACAGCCACTAAAATCACGCAAACCTATTGCTGGGGCATGTGAGTCTGTATATCTGCATAGTCATGATTTCTACAGCTTTTCGTAATAAAACCAGGATATGAATATGAGAGACGTCGTAGTTTAGGGCTGTGGGAATTTCGAGAGTTCTTTAACGCACACCGAAATCTAGGTAGCTCGGCCTCTAGCATGTCACCCCCATCGAAATGCGGCCACCATGGCCTGGAGTCGATACTGCGACTTTCAGATAAGCAGTCAAGCATCATCATCACTACGCCACCGAAGAAGGTCTGTATACGTGAAGTGGCAAACACCAGTAATGGTGTTAAATATACTAGTTTAACGCGTACACTCTTAAAAAGGGCAGTGCTACTTATTGACTTTGAGGTAGTGTTTTATTGTCACAACATTCACTACAGAAGTAGTAACTATATAGGTAGTAGACCACAGACACTTACTACCTCTGGTTGCTTCTAAGGTAGTAAACGTCTGTGGTATACTACCTGCAGTTACTACTTAGGTGGTGAATGTTGTGACAACAATTTACTACCTCAAAGTTAGTAAGTAGCACTGCCTTTTCTTCAAGAGTGTAGTGTTGTTTTCTTCGATGATATCATGGACGTCTTACCTGTTGTTGCTAAGATATGGGAAGAAAGGAAGGGGTACAGGAAGTATATAATAATATTTGTCTGTGGTTTAACGTCCCAAAACTAAGACATGATTATGAGAGACGACGTAGTGGAGGGCTCTCAAATATTTGGACCACCTGTGGTTCTTCAACGAGCAGCTACATCCATGCACACGATCTCCACCCCTTTTCACCCCCCCCCCCCTCCAATCAAAAAATGCTACCGGGATTCGGTCCTGCGACCTGCAGGGTCAGCACTCGAGCACCATAATCATTAGACCACCGCGGGCAGAGAGTCCGGAATACGCTCATGTTGTTCTGGGCGATATGTCGGCTGATCGAAACCGTACTATATCCGTTAAAGGGCAACAAAAATATAGCATATTCAAGAGATCGTCACAGCGGCGCCAACATAGCAGGCTCGAAGTAAACAACCATTAGCGGAAAGCGACTTCGATTTTTTTTCGGCATTTTATGGCGTCTGTGGTTCAATAAGTGCGTACATCCCCAGCATATTTAAAAATCGTCAACAAACGCTAATGCAAGGACGACCAAAGACTGGTCTTCTCGTTGACATAAATCACTGTTTGAAGAGGAAGATTGGGCGCTTTTGAGGACAAGGCTGCAAGGAATAGTTCATCAACGTATGCCTAGAGAAGCAATAAATATCTGTTATCTCTGGGCCGAAATTTTTCCATGCTGCTAAGATGTGTCTTCAGCACAGGTAACGAGGGTTCAGCCAACCCATGAGAGTGTGTTTGTAAGTAGAAATTGTTGTTTTGGGGACTACTGAAAATTTTCTCCTCTTAGTCAGTGATGAAAGATTCATACTTACGAACCGCTGCAGTAACGTCTGCGATAAAACTTTTGAGCACTGACGCATACATGGGCTCGGCGTTTTCATTCCCATTCGTTTTTTTTATTGATGATGGTACAACTGATTACGTTGGTGAATAAAAGCCACTGCTGTGTTCACTAAGCTCTGCTTTTTATTGTATTTATTGCCACGTGGTTCTCACATTGAAGGAGGCTGCAGTTGGTTGGTTCCAGAATAAGCTCATAAACAACAAATACGAGAAAGAAGAATGTATTTTAAGCAATGAGAGCCTAGACCGAAGTAAATTGTTGAAGCTTGTTAGCCCTCAGAGAGCAGTGAGGAAAGACGGGTATGAGATGTGACGTGGGGCTTTCGAGTTATTGTTGCCAGCTCTACTTCAACCTCACCTGCTATAGATTTTGTATACGACCGACAAAGAGTTAGACCTCACTCGATCCTGTTCAGTCAACCAGTTCTGCTTGCCTTTTACTAGAAATATTCACATGCTCATATTCATAACATTCATATTCGGTCTTGTTTTGTTTTGGCACTTCAAGTGCTTGTCATCTTCGGTGAAAACCTTTTAGCGGCACGCAGGGCCATACGAAGAGCTCGCTTGGCGGGTTTCGACCAGCGAATGCGACCTGCAAGCAGCGCTTAGGCCAGCAGGGATGAACGATTCGCCTTGCACAACCTGCCGAACGAGCTTACACTGGCACAGGCCTGCTTTTCCTGCTTAATAGCCGAAAGCCCTCACTGGGGCCGCCCCCCCAACAACTGCTTGCACCCATGTAGCGTGCGTCGCGATCGTTTCCAACCCTATCGAGCGAGAAAACTGGAAGGCATTTTTTTAGGCGAGGTTTGCTGGCCGGCTCATTTGTCTGCCGCCTCTGGCTCTCGGCCAGGCCCATGCTCACACTTCGTTTCGCGAACTGATCAATGGGAACGCTGAAGAGCGAACGCTTGGCTCACGGGCAGGCTCAACGGTCATTGAGTGCCCTTTTCACTGATATCTTCGTTAATATTCATATAGGCTTTGCGATGAAGGTTTTTTTTTCCTTTGCGCTCAGCCAAGTTGCGTCCTCTTGGCTTTGACATCATTCTTTCGTTTTACTTCGATTATTTTGGTATCTTGAAGCAAGATTTAACACTTAATATTGGAAGAAGGTTTTGTGGAGCAGCTGCCCCAGTTAAGAAGAGTGGGATTTCGAGCTTTTGATAAGTATGGGGAGAGTGTAGTGCGTCGAATTGCAAATTGAGTGCCATTATGATTTGAAAGAGCACGATCATTGAATAGCGTTGATGCGCTGTCATACACATAGAAGTAAAAGCAGAACAAAGGTAGTTATACAAGGCCAATCATCGTACATAGGGAAAGTTTACTGCTAGCAAAGTTAAGCTCCTAGAACTGAGCTTGCATTGCCCAAAGTTCTTATAATAACAGAGTTTCCTCTTCACTATCGGCTTCAGTCTCGCCATATTAAAACAAAAAAGTAAGATTCGCTTACCACTGCTACTGCGGTTCGAATCACCTCCATGTAACGTCGTGTGGTCCTAAATTGTACGTGGTAACCGGACAGTAATATCGCACAGTCACTCAGACTCCCAGAGTGTTGATGCCTCAGTATGTATTGCAGACGTCACAAAGACAATAAACAGTGCTGCAGACGAAGACATGTCTGTATGTGCATTACAAAAAAAAGAAAAAAAAAACTGAGTGCAAATTTAGACAGCCGGCTGCGATGACCGCAAATAATAATAAAGGTGTTATGAGAAACTTGAAAATGCGTACTTTAAGCTACTGAACAAAACTGCACGGGATGAAAAGGAAAGCGAGGCAGCAAGAACTTGTCCCTCGTGTCTTTGCTTTTGTTGTGGATCGTTTTCTTTTTCGCTGATCTTTCAAGCAGCATATTGTTTTGCAACGGAAATAAATGTTGGCACCCGCTGATGCTTTTTCCATTCCTTTTTTTTTTTCGTTTCCTCGTCTCAGTATCCAGATCAGAGAAAATCCCGTTCCCTGGCAGGACATGCGAGCTTTCAAAGTGCCAAATAAGGCAGTCTGAAGCCTAGCACAAGCCGACAATGACTTGTTCGAAACAGCTGTGTACTAAACAATACAAACGTCCTTAGTGTACCGGTTGTGCATATTAAAGCATTGCGCAAAGCATTGTGCAAAGAGTCATGGTCAAGCAGTAAAACAAAAATCGACACTGAGCGCATATTAGCCATCAACATGTGACAGTTTGCGCTCAGTGTCGTGTTTATTATGTCGCTACATTCCCGTCCTTTACGAGCCTTGTGCAATAATTTTATGACTATATGCTCGTACATTTCTACATCCCCATTTTCAAGCTTTTCGCAAAATAAACCTGCGCAGCGTTTGCCAGTCCTACAGAATAATATATCTGTCATGCAATGTGTTCGCTTGCGCTATACTTTCAGTACGATGTCCA